GAAAGTTTATAAACCGTCACTTGAAAGTTTGTAAAATTATAAATACCCCTTAAAATTTTTACAAAAAGTCCTTTGAAATTTGTACCACTAGCCTCATGAAAATTGCAAAAATAGCAAACACCTTGTTGAAAATTTTAAAATAATAAACAACTTAAAATTTTTATAAATGATCCTTTAAAGTTTCAAAATTACAAATAGCCTATAAAATCTAAAAATTACAAATAGCCACATAAAAGTTGCAAACAACCCCTTAAGATTCAAAAACTATCCTTGAAATTTTTGAGATTTACAAATAGCACCACAAAATTAAGAAAATTATAAACCGTCACCTTTAAAATTCATAAATAACAAATAATCCCTAGAAAATCTAAAATTTTTGAACAATCCTCTAAAAACTTCCAAACAGCCCCATGAAGTTTTATAAACAAGTCTCTAAAATTTTTACAACTAGCCCATTGAAAGTTTTAAAATTACAAATATCCCCTTGAAAATTTAATGAACAGACATTTAAAATTTTTGTAACTAGCCCATGAAAGTTTCTAAAGTAATAAACATTGTATTAAAAATATCAAAGTATTACAAACAACTCCTTAAAAAATTTAGAAACAACCCTTTAAAAGTTTCTAAAATTACAAACACCCACAAATATTCTACAAAAAGCCCCCTAAAAGGTTTGTAAATTACAAATAACTCAATAAAAAATTTACAAAACAAACCTCTAAAAACTTTACTATATATCACCCCCATGAAAGTTTCAAACATTACAAACAACCCTCGAAATTTTATAAGCAACAACACTAAAAAATTCTAAAATTATGAATGGTCTGCTACTGAAACATATTATCATATACTATTATGATATATCATTTGTGTGAGGAATGCATGAGGTGGGAAGGCATAAAGGTCATGGGTCCCATGTCCTTATTACTAGGGTGTTTGTGGATCTTTCTACTATCCATTTTAGAGATTTGAGGGAAATCCTAATGTTATTCCTGTCCCAATCCAGGGCGAACCAAATATGACCATTGGTTGAAATCTTGAGATATTGAAATCCCAAACATTTTTAGTTTTTTAAATTATAAAATTTTATTCAGTGTTGTAAAGGCGATTGATGGTTAAGTTATCTAAAATTGAATTTTAAACTTAAAACTGTAATTTATCTAAGGAAAACCCTACAACTCAAACTTTCTATTTAACTGATAAAAAATTAATTATTTTCTTATTCTCATATCATTAAAAAAAGAGATAATCATTGTCTCTTTCTTAATAAACAATTAATAAAGTATTAATTAATAGATAATATGCAAATTATAGTTTATAAAAAAATATAATTAATCATTTCCTTTATTACACTAGGGTACGTAGCTTATCGTATTCGAATGGTATGACAATCCAATATATATAAACAAAAGAAATTAAAAAAAATCCGTGCGAGCACGGGTTAATACTTGTATACTGTTTATATTAAAGAGTTTGCTTTTAGGAAAAATTGCTTCAAGGCCCCAAAATCTAAAAAGTCATGTGACTCAGCCCCTCATACTTTTGATTATGTGCTGCAGCCCCAAAAATGAAGATTCTATGTGATTCAGTCCTTATTACAATTTCCAAGAAAATAAATCCCCAAAAAACCCCAAACTACCCCTCTTCTTCTTTTCTAGATCTTCTTCTTCTCCAGATCTTCTCCTTCTTCCTCTTCTTGCTCCGCTCTTCTTCGTCTCGTCCAACTCCACTCCCTCTCTCTCAAACTCCAGCGCCGCCTCATAAGGTGTTACCACCTCCCTCAACACCGCAGTCGCCGCCGTCGCCGCTCCAGCACCCGTCGTGCCCCTCCTCAACATTTCGGGTCATCCTCCACAGCCTCCTCAACTCCGCCACCACCGCCACATTGGCCACCCTCATCTTGTCGGGTTCAGTTTTTCGTCTAATTTCACGTTTTTTTGTTTAATTAGTTGAGTTAGAGAAGGAGATCTCGTGTTATGTCCTGTTATCCAACAAAACTCATGACCGCATTGCCTTCAAGGTATTTCTCATTGATTTTCCAGTTAAATTCAATAAATAAATAAATATTAAAAAGAGGGGAAAAGATTGATTGTTTTGGGGGTTTTTTGGCTTGTTTTAGGTTATGGCATCCACCTGGAATTGCACAATGTGGCCCAACAGAGAGATCCTCTTGCCACAATCCACATCCTCCCCAGACTTCAGATTAGTTGCATCAAGATGAAAATGAGTATCAGTGTATTGTGAAGTTATGGATTATTACACTAATGTAATTCCATCTGGGCCTTTTCCTTAATCTGGTGCCTCAGTAGGCACAATGTTATTTGGCTTTCATCTTGCCTTAAACGTAGATGTAATAGCTAAATATTTTTGTATGTATGTAGTAACTGTGTATATGAACTGAAATACTTTTGTAGGGATGTGAACTATAATGAAAATGTGATATAAAATTGATGCACAAATTTATCCTATTAACTATTAAAATACTTATATAAGTCATTAACTATTGAAATACTTTTGTTAGCTTGTTAAGTTACTCTGTTAGATTGTTAAGTTACACAGGTAACATGTTAACTTTTTTTGGTAGCTTGTTAAGTTACACAGATAACATGTTAAAGCTTCAGGCTTCCTTTCAACGGATAAAGCATCACAAAGAGCTTGCTTTGCCATTTGGATGTCAGTTTGAAGTCTCCTCTCCCATTGGCATGAACCTGAATATAGTTAACAAGCACCGTAAAATAGTTAACATGAACCTGAATATAGTTAACAAGCACCGTAAAATAGTTAACATAAACCTGAATATAGTTAACAAACACCTTAAAATAGTTAACATGAACCTTAATATAGTTAACAAGCACTCTCAAATAGTTAACATGAACCTGAATATAGTTAACAAGCACTGTAAAATAGTTAACATGAACCTAATATAGTTAACAAGCACCTTAAAATAGTTAACATGAACCTGAATATGGTTAACAAGCACCGTAAAATAGTTAACATGAACCTGAATATAGTTAACAAGCACCCTCAAATAGTTAACATGAACCTGAATATAGTTAACAAGCACCGTAAAATAGTTAACATGAACCTGAATATAGTTAACAAGCATCTTAAAATAGTTAACATGAACCTGAATATAGTTAACAAGCATATTAAAATAGTTAACATGAACTTGAATATAGTTAACAAGTACCCTCAAATAGTTAACATGAACCTGAATATAGTTAACAAGCACCCTCAAATAGTTAACATGAACCTGAATATGGTTAACAAGCACCCTCAAATAGTTAACATGAACCTGAATATGGTTAACAAGCACCGTAAAATAGTTAACATGAACCTGAATATAGTTAACAAGCACCTTAAAATAGTTAACATGAACCTGAATATAGTTAACAAGCACCTTAAAATAGTTAACATGAACCTGAATATAGTTAACAAGCACCATAAAATAGTTAACATAAACCTGAATATAGTTAACAAGCACATTAAATTAGTTAACATGAACCTGAATATAGTTAATAAGCACCCTCAAATAGTTAACATGAACCTGAATTAGTTAACAAGCATCCTCAAATAGTTAACATGAACCTGAATATAGTTAACAAGCATCCTCAAATAGTTAACATGAACTTGAATAGAGTTAACAAGCACCTTAAAATAGTTAACATGAACCTGAATATAGTTAACAAGCACCCTCAAATAGTTAACATGAACCTGAATATAGTTAACAAACACCCTCAAATAGTTAACATGAACCTGAATATAGTTAACAAACACCTTAAAATAGTTAACATGAACCTGAATATAGTTAACAAGCACCTTAAAATAGTTAACATGAACCTGAATATAGTTAACAAACACCTTAAAATAGTTAACATGAACCTGAATAGAGTTAACAAGCACCTTAAAATAGTTAAACTAGTGGCCTTAGCTCGCAAAAGTAAACTCGTTAGGTTTCAATCCAAGTACGAGCATTTTAGGAAGCAACTCCAATGCCTCTTTAGGATGATCATTCTGTGAGTAACCAGTTATAAGCGCAGCCGTGTTGACCATATCTTTAACAGGCATTTCATCAAACGCTTTGTGGGCATCGATCAAGCACCCACATTTGCAGTACATATTAATGACTGAAATTTGGAAGAAAGGGTTGCCTTGAATCTAGAACTCATGACCTGTAGTTGCTCAGCTTGTGCTCGCCTCCCATGATCCTAAAACTCATGACCTTCTTCTCGTCGTCGAAGATTTCGAGGTGCTTGGTGCTGCTGACGGCGGGGATGCTGGAGATAAGGCGGACCTCGCGGAGGCAGCCGGCGGTGAGGGGGGAGTCGCCGTCGAGGAGGCGGAAGGACTTGACGAAGCTCTTGTAGGACTGGGGGGGGTCGAAGCGGCGGAGGAAGGAGACAGAGGAGGGAGGTAGGAGATGGGGAAGGAAGAGGAGGAAGAAGTGTGATTTTGGGGGGAAGATGACAGTGATTTTGGGAGGGGTAAAATTAGGTTTTTTAGGAAACCATGAGCTGGAGTCATGATGGAGGGGTTTGGGCAAAAAAATTTCAAAATTTTGGGGCTGCAGCACATAACCAAAAGTATGAGGGGCTGGGTCACATGACTTTTTGGATTTTGGGACCTTGAAGCAATTTTTCCTTGCTTTTATCATAAAAAGAATCATATTTATCGTATTCGAATGGTATGACAATCATAGTTATTCCATACGGGCATAATCTCATATGATCCTCCGAGTACCTAGAAACTTTCCTGTTCATTTTAATGAGTAGAAGTATTTAATTTGAAAACCAAGAGTACTATCTCCATTAGATTATAAAAAGGTTCTATAATGGAAGCCAACGGTAGGTACCCTTCCACCGTCTAAAGCCGAGTAATAATAATAGATTAGATTTTCTATTATTAATGCGACAAAGTGGGGCTCTGTTTTATAAATATTTTATAGTACGAGGGGTTTTCTATAAAGTTTACAATCTCGAGTGACCACAGCCTTTCTCCCTCTTTTCTCTCTCCTCTCTCCTAACTTTCGCTTTTGATCGAGCGGAGTGAGATTCCTCTCTAGGCTTCGAAGCTTCGCCATTACTCTTTCCCTATTCCCGAAACCCTAACGCTAAACCCAGATCCACTCTCATTTACTGCCCCCCCTCCACTATCGATTGACCCCCAGTCAATGCCAGTAAAAAAAGATCTCACCTTTGCGGAGCAGTGGTAAAAGGCCCCAGCGAGGGACGAGCCTAGGGGCCAGAGAAATCACCGGAGCTTTTAACAGTTCAGCCATGGCGCCGTTTCTCTTATCGGGGTACGCTATCTTCCTGTTGCTTTGCTTCTCCGCTCTGAGCATGGGATCAGTTGACGAGAAGCTCCCCTTCTCGTTGTCCTTCGAAAAGTTTGAGAACGATCAAAGGTTTGGGTCTGAAATCGCCCTCTATGGTGACGCCGAGGTCAGAAATTCCACGGTTCTGATGTTTGGTAAAGGGAGGATGATGTGCAGGAAACCGTTTAGGTTTTTTGGGACAAACCCTGGGTTTTCAACCTATTTCTCTTTCTCAATCTCGGCCGGTTACGGTCAAAACCTAGCATTCTTGCTGGTTCCGAGTAATATTTCTCAAGAAGCCGAGGTTAACCCAAGATTTCTAGTCGTGAAACTCGCTGCTACCAATGCTGCTGGTGCGAGCAGCATAGCGTTCGATGTTGGTGGCGCGATTCCTGTGAAAAGTAGCAGCTTGGTTCTGAGTAGTGAGGAGAAGTTGCACTCTTGGATTGATTACGACGGGGCTTCGAAGATGATCGAAGTGAAAATCAGCAAATCTAGGGATTTGAAGCCTGAGAAATCATTGGCCTCCTGCCCGGTTGATTTATCGAATGCTCTATGGAGGGAGGCAATGTATGTTGGCATTAGCTCTTCAGGTGAAGGTGCTTCTCGAACGAGCAATGTCTACTCATGGAGCTTCAACGTTACGCACGGAGCCCCTTATCAAATGCATTCTGAGCCTCTGAATCCTGATTCGGTCACTGTGCGGTCTTACGAGGACCCTTTGCTTCCTATGAGAAGAGGCTCTCCTTGGAAAATCGTTGTGGCTTTGTTCGTTGGTGTTATTTTTGGAGCTCTGCTGGCATCTGCTGTGTTCTTCTTGAGATCTAAGGTTGTCAAGAGGCATCCAGTTTCTCCCATAGAGTATGAAAGTGAGAAGATTGACTCGGATGGATTCAAAGCTGTTGATGTTGCTGGGAAATAGGAGGAGGTTTGAGGTGAGTGTTTTGTTGTAATATACGTCTGTGTCTCCGTATCCTGTTTTTTGTACTTGAATGTCTTGTGATCCGATGGAAAGCTTAGCTTTTGTGTGCCAAGTTTCTGCAAATGCTAGGCTTTCCATCATGAATAGAAACTGTTGTATTCCAGTATGTTTAATGCTTAATGATGTTCAATTGATGGTCCTGACTCCTGAGGCTATGCTTATTACTTTTCATGGGATTGGGATAACTGTAGTCTGTAGCTATACGACTTGTCAAACTTCATGCTATGCACGAGTGGTTAATGATGTGTATCCCTTCTCTGTGTGGTTCATGATGTGTCAGCACCTCCTACCAAGTGTTTACATAAATATATGATGTTTGCCATCAAAATGGATTTTCCTTTTCGCCAAGAGTTGTTGGGTAAATTGAAAACTCTTAGGCTATGTTTGGTTTGAGAGAAAGGGAGAGAAAAGAAAAAGAAAGAGAAAGTAAAAAGAAAGGAAAAGAAAAATAAAAGAAAATGATATTCTTTTCATTGTTTGGTTAGAAAGAATATTGTAAGGAAAGTTAGAAGAAAATTTAGAAGAAAGTCATTTTCTCTTGTTTGGTTACCTTTCTGAAAAAAAGAGGAAGAAAATTATTACAACATAATTTTAATTCATATTTTTTGGAGTTAAATTTAGATTTTAAATAATTTACAAAATAATTAAATTAAATTGTGATTCTATCATATTTTCAAAAAAATTATAAGTTACCGAACATATTTGCACAATCTTAACTCAAGAAAATTTAATCAAATTTACGATGACTCTCATTTGCGTATAATCTTACATAGTCTTGGACTTGTAAGTTAAAAGATGATTCTGAATAAGCTCTAGACAATGATGCAGTTCAAGCATAATTATTCAAAATCAGTAAATATTAACAAGCAGAAGCACAACCACAATTCCACTAATTAAAGAAATAACATTTCTCACACATAATATTTGCAAAAAGAAAGGTAAATGAAAGAACCAAAACAAATCTAAAGTAAATGTCATGATATTCCTAATATATAGTATAATCAATTTCTAGTCACAAAGTCTATTACAATCAATTTCATATAGAAGATCTTAACTAACAAAGTCTATTGCAATCAATTTCATATAGAGAATCTTAACCAAAGAGAGAAAAATATGTCGAAGTCCTTGGTTTTTGACGTTAGTGAGCCCATCAAAACATCAATCCTGCATCCTTCATCCCTGAAATTAATTCAAAAAAATTCAAATAAGTAGAATATTAACATCAAAAACCTATAAAAGGAAGTCTTAACATTCTTTTAGAAGCAAAATGCAACTATCACTCGTCGTATTATGGTTCTTTTCTTAAGACTAATCATCAGAAATGATGGAAGTGACTTGTAGACGGCCAAAACTAGCATTATAAGTGGTTGCATAGGGGTTGGTACTACTAGTGAAATTAATCAACAGCAAAAATAGTTGCTAAGTAACAAACTTAACATTACGATACTAACTTGCAAACAGTTGTAACGAGCATAGATCGATTGCGGACATGGATACTGAAAGAATCGTTCGGTCTAGACTTAAACAGCTCCTGAATTCGTACTGATAGTAGGTGATAACAGTAGGCTTGATCATTCTCTGTGTGTTGTTTATTCCTAATTCTATCAATTGCAATTATTACTAAACCTAACCATGTGCTAGCAGCTACTTTTCTTGCCACTGGAAATTGCTGAGAAGCACCTCAGATACCAAGATAACTAAGTAGAATGCCTGCATAAACTTCTTAACAACTCAACAGACAACCAGGTATCTCTCTGATAAGGTAAGGGCTAAGGTGTCAGCCTAATTAAAAAAAAAATTTCATGCTCTTGGGCATACAGAAGCAGCCGAATGAAAGGGAATGTTAAAACAGAAAAAAAAATCAGTAGAACTAGCTCAGCGTTGCACACCATGCATCTCACTTCTCTTCCATGTGATTTATCATTTATTAGACTCTTCCACTGTGCATACTGCCAAGAGTTGTACATCCATTAGAAAACAAAATGGGCAGGTAAGCTGCCTACTTAGTAGTTAATATATAGAAAAACTGTCCCCATGTTTTCTTATCACCTAATGAGTTGAGTCTTTGTACAGAATGGACATACAGAAATTTTCAGTAAAACTTACATAACAAGCAATTTTAACTACTGTAACTACTGTAAATGTTAAGAGATCTAATTAATATAGTCACCAACTAAGTTGAGACCTACTATTGCAGTGAGATCTTTATGACATGAAAAGATGCATATTGCTATGCAGTGAGAGCAAGTGCATCTGCAGGGATAACATCATTTGTTATAATAGCACTCGTAAAACAATTACATAACTTATTAGTACTAAGATTCAGGCGCAGAGGATTTAACTTATATCCACAGCAGAATTTGACTTAGTAAACAAACAGAGAGCCCAAGTAAAGAAGATACAGATAAAGGAGAGAAATTATAATCATAAAACAGGGCATTGTACATGCCTGGGCACCGTAAAAAAATGAAAAATTTGACATACGAACAACTAATGGCAACAACTGTACCCAAAGGCGGAAGCAAAAATATGCCATAAAAAAACATATTTCCAGTAAAAGAACACACTTGTACAGTAACTTCACTACATAACTGACCCTTAACAAAATCAGCTCACAGTATCTCACCCTGAAACAGGTCACTTTATGAGCAAATGTCGGCAAAAACAGGCAAGTTCTATTATCAACATATGAAGCTGCATAGTCTTACCATAGGATATTGTATTAACTAAGATAGTCGAGCACAACAAAATTCAATATGTATTCTTCATCCAGAAGTTTTAAATTTAACAGAGAATTCAATTCAAGTAAGCATGAAAAGAGATTTACCTGTAGCTTGCTACACTTAACAGCAAAGTGTTATAGAAGTAAAAACTCATTTGTGGAGTACATAATGCGTAAATCACAAAGGTTTTTGCAACATCAAATAAGCAAACTAAGAGGTAATCATCCAAGTAATTTCAAAGCTGTGGAAGTGGTAGATACTGAACCCGAGAAAGCATCCTTACTAATGATCAAACAGATGGGAACATCAATGCATCCTTATGTACAATATTGTTTCAGCATTTGATCAGTATAAATTCTACAGATATGTGGAGATTCATTAGGAAGTGATCATATGATTTGCAAGTCAGAACAAAGACTGCTTTTTGCCTTGCTTTCCTAAAGTTGACTCAAGTTGACATCTTATGGTCCTACTACCAGTTGGACTCTCATTATGTATGTCAATGTGACTGCACTTTTAAGCCGCGGGGGGGGGGGGGTGGGGGTACAGTAAACAAATTAGCCCATGATCAGATACATGCATCAGGTTAAAATAATGATCTACAGATCAAAAATAAAGTAGTCAGAGTTAACATCATAAAAAAATATGACCCCTAATTTCCAATATATCAGCCACAAAAATTTCAGCCACATAAAAAAGAAAGGAACAAAGATTCTAAATGCTAATATTCAAGGTTTAGTTCTTAGCCTCCTGTAAGTTCCTATGTTCATCTATTTGAGCTAAGATAGATCTATCTATATACTCCACTTGGTAGATATTAATCGCCATAATAGCATCTGCATATGCAGTCAGCTGAATGTTTTATCCTTTTCCTTTGTATAGCCCATTCATCATCTTCTTTTGTCTACAAATTCAAACACTTCCTCTAGTAAGCACGTCACAAACTAAACCCTAAAGTTCATAGTCAAAGGTAAATCTTTAATGTGAGTGAAATGAGTCAAACAAAGAGAACAAATGTTAACTCCACAAGTAACTTTTTAATAGCGATGCTGCACGTGGGAATGACAAAAAGCCTACTTGACACACTGTTGACGCAGCTATACGTGCGATGTGTATGCATATTCATCCTATATCAAATATCAAGCTGCCAGATGTTGCAGATAATAAGATTAATGATTGTCAGTACTAGAACATTTTGTTGTAACTGATGTTTTTCGTACATGATGAAGTGATGTCTTAGTATCAAGACCAAGATTAGTAATGAAGAGGCTGATAGTGATGGAAGTGCTAGGAAGTGAAGAAGTAAAGCTCCTCTTATCAATTGAAGGAAGATGAGGAACAAAAGAAGATATAAGTTGCAAGATAATTATTTTAAAATATATGCTTCATGCACAAAGAACAAAAACATGACCCAAACCAAATAGCATATCCAATGTCTAAGCTTAGTAGTGTAGAGTTTTATGCTGTAGACCTCATAGCAATCATAGCAATGTTTAACAACACACCAAATCAATGATTTTTAAAGCACATGTTGATGTCAGAACAGTACATTACTCGAAAAGAATTTGTTTTTAGATTAAGTTTTAAATAAATTGACTCCAGAACAAGGTAATTCGACATGTACACATTCATTTCTAGCAGATAAAGAAAATTGAAGAATGCATTAAAGATTCTGCATGTGATGCACTACCATCCTGCAACAACTTCAATTCCCACACAACAAAACGCAACTCAGTGTCTCTCAAAAAATTTATCCCCAGAGATAAATTTAGTCAGAACAAAAGCCTTCGAAAACAATCGCACAACAATCTGATATTTGAACTAATTCAACTCAAATTTTTTTTTAAAAAAACTAGTATAATCTCCCTTAGCTATGACCTACGAACACCAACCTCAAAGACAAATTAAAAAAATAAACTGTAGACCAAAAGCTAGTTGCAACTATAACGTATGATGCTATGAAAATCGAAATTTTTTTTTACCTCAACTGATGAATCGATGAGTTTTTTCTTTGCTATATTCATTTCCACAGGAGAGAGATCTGAGAGGAGAACTCTAATCTTCAGCAAATTTGAGAAAGTCGGAACCAGATCAGAGAGCTACAGTCTCGATTTTTTGTAGAAATCTGAGAAGTTTTGGAGAGCTACAGTCCCGGTTTGATCGGCGTCAAACTAGGATTTGATCGGTGTCAAAGCTTCGGTCGGCGTCGAACTAGGGTTTAGGCAAAGTTAAACTAGCGTTTTGAAGACTGATCGGTCGGAGTTTTGGAGAGAATGAGGGAAGAGAGAGAGAGAAGATTGATCGGTCAGAGTTTTGGAGAGAGTGGAGATTGATCGATCGGGGAAAGTCGGAGGCTCGAGCGACCGATTCCGTCTCTCTCCCTCGTTTTCACCTGGGCAGCGGAGAGAAAACTTAAAAGGAAAAATAGCTATCGGTTTTTCTGCAGTGAAAATGATTTTCTTTTTATTTTTTGTTTTCTTTCAAACCAAACAGCAAAAACTCACTTTCGTTTTTATTTTATTTTTCTTTCTCTCACTTTCTATCGAACCAAACAGAGCCTTAGTGTAAAAGCAGTATTTCCTCACGAGCGTGTAGTTTCTATGTGCTGTCATAGGATGAAAAATTCATAAATGGATGCTCATTATTCTTGCTGGGGAGGGAGGAATTGATAAAGGGATAACCCTTGTTGTCCCTGGACATCAGTTTGTGATAATGGAAATGTTGTATTATTTCAAGGGATGCTGGCTTCAAATCTCAACTTCTTGAGCATGAAATGCTTCGTGTTGGATTATGCGTTCATACATCCGTTTAGGTTGTTTTTGCACTTGATGTTAGAAAACGTCACTTTGTGGAAGCTTGTAAAAATTCTAGGCTCTACATAAAAAAAAAATAGAAACTATTGTGTTTTCAGTGTGTTTGGCGTGCATTCTATTACTGTTTCACGTTTAATCTTTTCTGATGGATATGGAATAATGATAGATTGTGGTTAACAAGCTTTCTTTGATATGTGTCTGTTTCATGGTCTTAACGTGCATCCAGAGTCGAAGAACATCCCTTCTCTTTGTTTATTAAGTAGATCTTTTCCAAGAATTTACGCGTAAGTTGCAAAAGCTTAGTTTAGGAGCATATATTTTCATGAGCTATCTTAGTTGGTGCAGTGTGCATGCTTTCTTCGGCAACTGTCTTTGGATATGTATCCTTTACTTGGGGGAAAATGGCGGTTCCCTTAGTAAGCAGCGTAAAAAGAAAAAGAGAAAAAAGAGAAAAAAGAGAGAGATAATACTTTCCTGTAACTAACTCAAATTTTGACTTTCAGGAGATATACATACTTCCATTTGCATTATGCGCTGATTCGTTTGCCGGTAGAAGCTTCACAAATCCAACATTCTTTATGTTTCCAAGTTTTTCATGTGAAAATGGGAAGGTTGCTCTGATACACCGCAAACTTTACAAGCTCCACAAATTTGCGGGCGGCAGCAACTTCAATTTTCAACTTGTTGAATATTAGAGTTCTCACTTTCCTCAAGAGAAATAAATTTACGTATAAGTAGACATTTGCCTTGAATTGCATCTTTCCCACTCTAAACCCTCTGAGCGAGCTAGCAAGGATGTAATCCACGCAAGCAAGCAGTTGGTACTAATTCAGACACTATAACTCTTATGCAAGCAAGCAGTTGGCACTAATTCAGACACTATTAACTCTTATCCTTTCTTACATAATATGTTTGCTTGCCTTTCTTTTTCCTCTGCGTAGATGTTCAGAAGTCAATACATTGGTATACGCTGGTCTTAAAGTCTCTGCCAATGCAAGTTGAGTATTTTTTTTATGCGCTGAAATGTGGACTCACGTAGCGATGTTATTTTTTTTAATCTATTTTAAATACAATATAAGCCATGTTCAGACTTGATACCTAGAGGTAGGGGTGTTAACGGAGCGGATACGGCTCGGATATGGCACTTACCATATCCATATCCGCTTATCCATCTCGGATACGGATACGGATATACGTCGGTAAGAAAAATTCATATCCATATCCGTCAAAATCGGATACGGTTACGGATATAGATGCGGATATATAAACGGATATGCATGCGGATACAAAAAGGATATGAGAAAACTAGATAGTATTTAGAAAAATATAGTCATGTGATACAAAAAGAGTTCGTTAATATGTTCATTATGATTGAAAAGCTAGGATTAGACATCTTAATCATCAAACTTAACCACAAATCCATAATCTAAGAATCGAAACCATCGAACGGGTATGACCAATATGTATTCGGATATTTTCGGATACGGATACAGATATTTCACTACAAAACCATATTCGTAACCATATCCTATCGGTTATAGATTTGAATAACCATATTCGTATCAGTTACGGATATTTCCTCGGATACGGATACGGTTTGACAACCCTACCTAGAGGGCAGTAGAGCACTAGTCATTCTTCAGCACATAAAGCACGTGAACCAAATAAGAAAGCAAAATTTTTAGTTGAGACATGTTCAAGTCTAATCATGACTTTTCTCCCATCACAATACACACAGAACACATCATTTTAGTTGACACAACTTCAAATATATGATAACAAATATATGATAACATAACCACCACATATGAAAATTCAACATAGTATTCGAAGAAGCTTCATACTATTCATATCACAAAGCCACACATATTCCACATAGTATTTCGAAGAACCTTCACACTATTCATATCAGGAAGATACACAGATACCCTCAAGTCATTGCTAGTTACCTAGAGAAAGAAAATAAGCACTACTGCCATATTGTAAACATGCAACTGGTAGTTGCAGCACATTAAAACCATTGTGCTGAATGAATTACTGCTCATACATCTCTTCTTCACCTTCTTCATCTTCATACTCTTCTTCATCAGCAGTAGCATCCTGGTACTGCTGGTATTCGGAAACCAAATCATTCATGTTACTCTCCGCTTCAGTAAACTCCATCTCATCCATCCCTTCTCCTGTGTACCAATGCAAGAAGGCCTTCCTCCTAAACATAGCAGTGAACTGCTCACTAACTCGTCTAAACATTTCCTGAATAGAAGTCGAGTTCCCAATAAACGTAGAAGCCATCTTCAATCCAGTAGGAGGTATATCACACACCGTTGACTTCACATTGTTCGGGATCCACTCCACAAAGTATGAAGAGTTTTTGTTCTGGACGTTAATCATCTGCTCGTCTACTTCCTTTGTGCTCATCTTGCCTCTGAACATGGCAGAGGCAGTGAGGTACCTCCCATGCCTTGGGTCTGCAGCGCACATCATGTTCTTGGCATCCCACATTTGTTGAGTGAGCTCAGGGACTGTGAGTGAGCGATACTGCTGAGATCCACGAGAGGTCAAAGGAGCAAATCCCACCATAAAGAAGTGAAGACGAGGAAAGGGGATGAGGTTAACTGCAAGCTTTCGAAGGTCAGAGTTCAGTTGACCAGGGAACCTAAGGCAGCATGTCACACCAGACATCGTTGCAGAAATAAGATGGTTCAAATCTCCAACTGTTGAAAGGGCAACAACAAGCTTAGGCAACAGTAAAATAAAATAAGAATCGAGCTGAAAACAAGGGAGAAAGTGAGGCTTACAGCTAGGAGTAGAGAGCTTCAGGGTTCTAAAACAGATGTCATAAAGAGCTTCGTTGTCAAGGACCATGCACTCATCAGCATTCTCTACAAGTTGGTGGACTGATAAGGTTGCGTTGTAAGGTTCAACAACTGTGTCAGAGACCTTAGGAGATGGAAAAACTGAGAATGTGAGCATCATGCGATCAGGGTACTCTTCTCTGATCTTTGAGATCAGTAAGGTTCCCATTCCTGAGCCTGTTCCTCCTCCAAGGGAATGGCACACCTGAAATCCTGATTGTTTACAAAAAGATGAAGTTAATTATGATAATAAGAAGTTACATGGCTAAAATATTTTTATTTATTTCAATGTACCAGTAAACTAATACGATAACAATAGTGAAAACAAATTTAGTAAGAACATAAAGAGAATCGTCCAGGCTCCAAATGTCATGATAATACTATAAGCTATAGATAAACCGAAACAAGATAACCATAGTTTTTATTCTGTGAAAAAAGAAATGAGGCTTGTGGCAGCATGTAACTATGTAGGGCATCTCAGTCCATAAATTCCCAGAGGCATCTTCATTGAATATCAAAGTGCAAGGATAACTAAAGGAAGACAACATCACAGATGCCCACTAGAATGTTACATATACTCAATAAACTTTAAAATAATATTAGGACAATAGTGTTAAAAGAATAAGCAAGAAAACCAAGAGATTCTTCCAGGATCAAAATGTTATAATAGTAATATAGCTACAAGATAAATGAAACTATATTACTTCTTCATAATTTTTATTCTGTGAAAAATGAATTAAGGCTTGTTGCAGCATGTAACTATGTAGAGCATCTCAGTCCAGAATTTCCCCATAAGCATCTTCATTGAATATCAAAGTGCAAGGATAACTAAAGAAAGCAAACATCGTAGATGCCCACCAAAATGTTATTACAAAACAATTAAATAAGAAAACATGCTACTCATGACAGCGATAATTGATTGATTGATGAGAATAAAACAACGAAAATATAATATGCCATTAAAAAAGAAAAATTACAAGTAAACAAGAAGTTCGAAACTTGTGATAAAATTGATGTTAGCCTTTGACAAACAGGCACATTGGCTAACATGTGCCATCACCTATGGGCCTTGTGGACACCCTCAACTCTCCCCCAGCTTGACGTACTAAGTACAATACTGGGGTCGCAATGGGAAGCAATTTTAGAATAATATACTTCCAAGTCAATTTCAAGGTCCACCAACATTGGTGTTACTATCATTATTATTTTGGTAAATGAATAAATATTCGTAAACCGAAATTGGAAGTATATGTACTGAACAACCCTCAGGTATACCTGAGTTCTCTACAAATAAAAAAGAAGACAAGAAAATTGATGTTTACCATTGACTAAAGAAGAACATTGGGCAGAAGTGCAGTTACTGGCTCTTTGCCACCACCTCTCCCTAAACTTAACTAGCTAAAGCCTAAAGTCCAATCATAGGTTAGCAAAACTAAGCCTAGGGTTCACATATAAACATTTTGACCTAGGAGGTAGTCTGATATGGTTAACGATCCTGTTTTAGTCCTAGTGAAACGATATGGCTTAACACAAGACATTAACAGGTAGAATGACAACAAGACAGTAAAAGATGAGAGGGAAAAGGCATTACAGGAAACTTTCCGAGCACCGAGTACCTTCTATTGCTGGAATGTGTAATGCTGGATTTAGCAAAATGAAGTTCTACATCCCCAATTAATGCCACCAGCGTAGAAAGTAGGCTTAAATGCTCAAAAAGTTGTATGCATTATGCCCTTTCAACAAGTTAAAAATACTGAAATGACTTGGGCATATCCAAATAAATGCATATCAGAACCTGGTCACTTCATAAACTTCGTCACAAATTAAGTTGGATCCAAGGTTAGGAAGATCATGTTCTCACTTAGAACCACTCATTTAGGAATTGAATTTAAACAAGAGAGCCAACTTGGGTCTAGCATAAAATTTAAAACTCAATTAGACTATAAGCTGAATTTAGCATCATATATACTATACGGAGAAATTATTTAGCGGACCATGTCAACTAGACAGATGATGATCCAAGAGGGGTAAAAGCTTAAAAGAAATACTTAAACTATAACCTCTTGCTTAACCAATTTAAAAGTTCTTCCCTCTTAGACCACCAGCTGTCCAGTGGACATAATCCAGTAGATAGTTTCTCCAAGAGAAAACCACAAGACACTATATTTTATCCCAACACACCTTGGATACCTCGTGCTATTTATCCACAAACAAGTTCAATATTGGCATTAGGTATTTTGTTGTGTTAGTAAGATAAAGACTGAGTAATTCCGGAAGAACTTAAGCACTCTTTAGTACTACACTATAACAAAACAAATGTTTTAGTTGCAAACCTACTCCAATCTATGGACTTGCAGAACTACTAGTGTCCTATTTACTTACACAAACAAGTTGCATTAGCCCTCCTCAGAAGCAATGCTTCTCGATATACAAGATTTCTTTCCAAATTTTGGAAAGTTACCTTGGCGTGTTCAGCAAAGTAACTCAGCTTAGCTTGCTTGGAAAGCAAGTTAACTTGGTTTTCCATTTATTAAAAGCAAGTTAACATTCTAGACTGTTTCTAACAATCCGCCACAAGTATCCCAATGGTTCTTGGTTCCCTTAAACTTCAGACTCCCACTTAAGTCAATTGAAGCTTAGGTCTATTGAGAAGTAGCACAGTGCATTGTGGACTTAGCCTTGAACGAGTACTTCATTACTGTTTAATAAAGCTTATACTTATACCAAGTGTATATTCATAGCAGTTAAGCTTTCTACTGCAATACCACCTTGCCATTATTATTGTTGTTCAACTATGAATATTTTGATCTTCATGAAAGTAGCTAGGCACATCGTGATTGTGAGGGACTGTTAGAAAACAGTTTCTAAAAGTAACTTATCTTAGTTGACTTGTTGTCAATCCAAGCTAACTTCTTAGATGAGCAAGCCAAGTAAATTTAGCGCCCAATTTTTAGAAGCCTATAAATTGGAAACCATCACTTCAAAGGAGGATATAATCTTTCACTATTTTTCTCAGTTGGATGTTTCAACAGGGTACAGTGTTTGCTTGTCCACCTTTATTGTTACTGGTAGGCACACGTTAAAAAAAACCACGCACACGTTAAAAAAAACCACCTTGCTTAAAGTCTGCTTTATATGACGCCCACTACATTTATAGGACAGGTCATCCCCCTTTGTCATTCCAATGTTACCAAATTACCACAAGTGTAGGGCAATAGGCATGTCCATATTACTATTACTATAGATGTAGCGCAATAAGCATTTCCATATACGACCATGCAGGGAGACCCTCACTTCAAAAGAAATTTTGACGATGATTGATGGTCATTTAGAAAACTAGATCAATACCCAAACCCCCAACATCAAACTGACCACAATCATAGGATTTCAGCCATAAGAGCAGCTCCAATGGGGAGGCTGCAAGCATTTTGTAGCCTCCCCAAAGAATATTCTGTTTTAGAGGGGGGCACACTCCAACCACCTCTATATGAAACTCCATTTAAAAATATATATTATTAAATAATTATTTATATAATACTTTAAATGATTTTAAAAATATAAAATGATAAAAATTATATAAATTAATTTAAAATATATTATAAATTAATACTAAAATTATAATATAATCATATATTTAAAATAAAATTGATTATCTTAATGAATTGATAATAAGAAATAGATAAGAGACTTTAAAAATAAAACCGAAAGCAAAAAAAGATAATGTGTGGTTCATTTAAGAGAGAACCGAAAAATAATTAGAAACAGGATACTGGTGGAATTGGCCCGAAAATGCAGTTCTAGAATTTTTTTTAAAAAATAGAAAATATAGCATAATATTTGGAACAATCTTCATAACTACTCCGAAGTCCAATTCTCACACCATAATGAGTTACGGTTTGCCGAAAATGATAAAGTTTTATATATTAAATTCAGCGGCATTACATAAAAAAATAAAGTACATGGAAAAAAATTAAAAATCAGGCATGTCATTTCCTTCATATCCACCGCTTTTGCAGTCAGGTATTCTGTATTGACTTCCTGCATAACTATATTTAGGATTAGGAATATCATTTAAAGAACATTCAGTTGTATTTCTATTTAAAATCTGTTTTTTTTTAATTCAAAAATACTCACGTTCCGAAGGATCAGTAATAGTATCAAGATTAATTAACATAATTTTACTTTCCTGTTGTTCCCTTAACATCATAATCTGGTGCATTGTCATTTTATTATTTTCTCGTTGTACAGAACTTTTTTTTAAAAATATCAACAATTTCTTGATTATTTTTATTAAGAGTTTCAAAGTCGAGGTCCTTTTCAATTGCATGTCGCCTCCGCCTCCACATCTTCTCTTTCTTTCTTCATGTCGGCTGACTTATTGACATATCGTCGTCATTATGAGTATATCCCTCATTATCGTCATTTAAGTCGATGACAGAAGAACTTGAATCTGATCCCTGAGATAAGCGGGACTTTGAAGTTTTGGAAGTTGCAGGCGATCTAACACTTTTAAAATTGACCGACATGATCAAATAAAAACCCCTTTCTCTCTTCTGGATCTTTTACAAATATTATCCTAGCACGTTTAATCTACTACAAGAGAGGAATAAACAAGTATTAATAATATTATAATAGATGTTAATAATCAAGATTTTTGTTATTCAAATACTTAAAATATCAAGCTCAGAAGCACCGCTTGAATTTAAGCGCTCAACTTGTTGAATGCGTCTTCAAAATTTACTGTTCGCATTCATAATTAATTGCATTCGGCATGAGAGAGACTTCGGAGTCCTTTGAACAGTACAAATATTGAAAATCCTTTCATAAAATAAAGTGTTGAGAACGATATTGAGTCTTGAGAACCCATGATTGGGTCTTGAGAAATTTTGAGTCATATGACGCATAAAATTTGGTCTTCTTATAAAAAAGAATTTTCGCGATAGGATCACATAATCTAATGAGATAAAGTGTTGAGAACGATATTATTATGATGGAGGAATGCAAAGAGTTATGAATATAGAATAAAAAAAAGTTGTGGTGGAGATATAAAAATTGTGCAAGTATTTATAGAGATACTTCGGGTAGAAATCATTACTGAGGAGAAATCAATGCAAGTAGAATCCAATGTGAGGAGTTTTCAACGCGAAAGGAATTCAATGTGGGGAGTCTCCAACACCAGAAAAATCCAATATAGTGAGTCTCCAACACCAAGATCCAATATAGTGAGTCTCCAACACGAAAGTAATCCAATGTGGGGAGTCTCTAACACGGAAGGAATCCAATATTGGCAAGGATCTAATGTGAGGAGACTCTATGCTGGCAGGAATCTAGTATAGGGAGACTCAACACGGGAATTCAATGGGGGAAGACTCCAACACGGAAGTAATCTAATGTGGGGGAGAATCCAACACAGAGATAATCTAATGCTGGAAAGAATCCAATGTTGAAAAGAATCCTATGCGGGGAGAAATATTATATAATGACATTATATCCATCTCTAAACAACTCACAACTTATATTTTATTTCTATAAACAACTTCTTCAACAATGAACTATGGAGCTGGATCGTCACATCTACCTTCTTCTTCTTCTTCTAACAATGAAACATTTTCTCAGTACATTAAAGATTGGGAGGAAGATAAGACACAATGGGAGAATGAAGATGAAATCTTAGCTCGCGTATATGCCTCTAATAATGAAATAATGACTTATCTCTCTCAAGAGGAACTAAGCCAATACGCTTTGGCCGCTCGCGTGTTGAAGACTCCCCACATTGGATTCCTTTCGTGTTGAAGACTCACCATATTGGATTCTCCTGGTATTGGAGACTTTCCACATTGGATTCTCCTGGTATTGGAGACTTTCCACATTGGATTCCTTTCGCGTTGGAGACTCATTACATTGGATTCTCCTTGCATTGGTTTCTCCTCGGTAATAATTTCTACCCGAAATATCTTTATAAATATTTACACAATTTTTATATCTTCACCACAACTCTTCTTATTCTATATTCATAACTCTTTGCATTCCTCTATCATAATAGTATTATCCTCGACAACTTTATCTCCTTAGATTATAGCATCTAATTGTGAAAAATCTTTTTTACAAGAAGATCAAATTTTAAGCGCCACGTGACTCAAAATTTCTCAAGACCCAGTCATGGGTTCTAATCAAAAGAAGGACAAGCCGTGTGAACGAATTTCTGCTTTATTTCATGAAAGGATTTTCAATATTTGTGCTGCTCAAATGACTCCAAAATCTCTCTCATGCCGAATGCAATTAATTATGAATGTCATCAGTAAAGTTCGATGATGCATTCGACAAGTCGAGCGCCTAAATCGAAACAGTGTTTTTGAGCTTGACATTGTAAGTACTTAAATAACAAAAATTTTGATTATTAACATCTATTATCAAGATATTAATACTTGCTTCTTCCTCCATTGTGGAAGATTAAACGTGCTAGGATAATATTTACAAAAGATTCAGAATAGAGAAAGGGGTTTCTATTTGATCATGTTTGGTCAATTTTAAAAGATGCAGAGAAATGAGCAAATATAAGAAAGGGGTTTCTATTTGATCATGTTTGGTCAATTTTAAAAGATGCAGAGAAATGAGCAAATATAAGTGTCAGATCGCCTGCAACTTTGGTCAATTTTAAAAGATGCAGAGAAATGAGCAAATATAAGTGTCAGATCGCCTGCAACTTCCAAAATTTTAAAGTCCCGCTTATCTCAAGGATCAGATTCAAGTTCTCCTGTCATCAACTTAAATGACGATAATGAGGGATATACTCATAATGACGACGATATGTCAATAAGTCGGTTGACATGAAGGAAGAAAGAGAAAAGATGAGGCGACAGGCAATTGAAAAGAACTTTGACTTTGAAACTCTCAATAAAAATAATCAAGAAATTGTTGATATTTAAAAAAAAGTAATGGACAACGAGAAAATGATAGAATGACAATGCATCAAATTATGATGTTAAGGGCCAAAAATGATAAGAAAAATTTAGATTTTCAAAGAGAACGACAGGAAAGTAAAATTATATTAATTAATCTTGATACTATAATTGATCCTTCATACCGCGAGTATTTTTGAATTAAAAAACAAGAGATTTTAAATAAAAACACAACCAAAGGTTCTTCATCTGATATTCCTAATCCTGAATATAGTTGTGCAGAAAGTCAATACGCAATATTTGACTATAGAAACGGTGGATCTGGAGGAAATGATCTGCCCGATTTTTAATTTTTTTTCATGTACTTTATTTTCCTGTATAATACCGCTGAATTTAATATAAAAAATTTTATCACTTTCGACAAACTGTAACTCATTATGGAGTGAGAATTGGACTTCGGAGTAGTTATGAAGATTGTTCCAAATAGTATGCTATATTTTTTGGTTTTTAAAAGATTTTTCTGGAACTGCATTTTCAGGCCAACTCCACCGATACCTCACTTCCAATTATTTTTCGATTCTTTCTAAATGAACCGCACATTATCTTTTTTTTTTAACTTCAGTTTTTTTAAAGGCTATTATCTATTTCTTATTATCAATTCATTAAAGACAATTAATTTTATTTAAATATTATATATTATAATTTTAATATTAATTTATAATATATTTTATATTTTAAATTAATTCATATAATTTTTTTATCAGTTTATATTTTTATATTTTCAAAATTATTTAAAGCATTATATAAATACTTATTTAATAATATATATTTTAAATGGAGTTTCATATAAAGAGGGTGGTTGGAGTGCACCCTCTAAATCAGAATATGCATGAGAATATTCTTTGAGGAGGTTGCAAAATGCAGCCTCCCCGTTGGAGCTGCTCTAAGCCAGAATATAACAAACATTAACCATGAAAGAGCATCAAACACCTGATGAGCAAACAATCCAAAATACCGCATAGATCTAACTAGAGCAAATCAAGCTCTAGAGAAATTATACCTTGCAAGCAATCACAGTTCTCGGCCTCCTTCCTCACAACATCAAGAACCGAATCAATCAGTTCCGCTCCCTCTGTATAATGACCCTTGGCCCAGTTATTCCCAGCCCCAGACTGACCAAACACGAAGTTATCCGGCCTGAAGATCTGGCCGTAGGGCCCAGATCTGATGCTATCCATGGTTCCAGGCTCCAGATCCATGAGCACCGCCCTCGGGACGAAGCGGCCGCAGCTGGCCTCGTTGTAGTAGACGTTCACCCTCTCGAGCTGCAGATCTGAGTCGCCATGGTATCGACCAGTGGCGTCGATCCCGTGCTCTGCGCACACGACCTCCCAGAACTTGGACCCGATCTGGTTACCGCATTGGCCGCCTTGGATGTGGAGAATTTCTCTCATTTCTCCCCCTTTCCTTGAGCTTGAAGACGGTGGAAAAAGATGAGAGAAATTAGAAGTTAATTAGGGCAGGCGATTTGGGGGAGGGGTTTTAAATAGTAATTTTTTGACGGAGCGGACGCGAAAGGGGTTTTTGATTTGGTTGGTTGATTGAGGGATTTGAAATTGGTGAAGATGGACGGACGAGATGAGTTTGGATGATGGAAGGGACGGTTGTATTTATGTGGGATTTTGAATTTTGAAAGGGTGGGAACAGCTGGGCGACAGGGTAGAAAGGGAAACGTGGCTGGTCAGAATATCGAGGAGCAACGGACGTTTGAAATGCATTGACGAAAATGCCCTTTGTAGGAATGTTTAGGTTGGATTAACTGGGTTCTCGTTGTGGTAGCGCCCGTTTCTATATTCAAACGGCCCATAAAAGATGCAGACTTATTATGTACAGGCCCAAGATGTGGCTTAAGATTGTTGGGCCTATCCAATTTTCACCCTGCAAAATTTTCATGGTATTATAACTATCAAGCGAGCCCATTATATGCCCTGCCCGTTTACATATCAATATTCCATAGAGTAAATTGCACACAGCCCCTCTTATTTATGCCTCTGAGTTGAGTCCAACTATTCACACTCCCAAACAGTAACTTTGGGGGGTGTGAGGACTAAATTGCCCTTCTCCCAAACCAAAATAGGCCAAGTCCATTCCAGAAACACCCTCAACATCAAAAGGGCATTTTCGACAATCCAACTCCCAAAATTACTGTTTGGGAGTGGATATAGCAAACATGCTCTGAGTTGCACCAAACTTTCCTCAGCTCATCTATTAGCACTTAGTTCCCTTTAATTCATGAAAAAGAAGACTGCTACTTGCAAATTACTTCTTAAAAACTTGCTCTCATGAAAAAGAAGTCTATTACTTGCAAATTACTTCTTAAAAACACTATTTCATAACGTTCTTCTTTTTTTTCTAGCGAGAGGCAGCGTCAAATCTAAGATTTCAAAGGATAGGTGTCACCACATAACTAACAATTAACCAAATTTGTCACAGAACATCATGAAATAATATATAACTAGTTTCAGACCCGTGCGATGCACGGATTTGTCAATATTTTTCCACATAGAAAAATGTCATTAAGGGCTCTTGAAAAAAGTAACACATGAACTGTTCTTGAAGAAGAGTAAAAGAGTAGACATGTCAGTGTTCAATAAAATCATAAACGGTTCTTGTTAAAATAAAATAGAGTAGATATTCAGTAATATTCATAAGAAGAAAAGTTTTGAAGCAACAATCATTAAAATTGTTCAATAATTAATCTCAATTAAAGAAAAAAGAATAGATATTCAAGCAATATTCAATCAGATTCACTTACACATGCTATATAGTTTCTGTCAAGATTCAAAACTTAGGGAACAATCCAAAAGAACAGTGGGCTGCAATGTTTCCAAACAACTCTTTAACCATGCAACAATTGTAAAATAACCCCTGTTTAAGTAATATACCAATATCTAGAAAAGTTGCAACATATAAAAGATTAGCTTAATTAGGTGTCATTTGCTTAAATCTTAAAAAATAAATATACCAAAAAAATCTTCAGCATATCTAATATGGTATACTTCATTATCCAGAGAGTAAATCATAAATATAGTTTATAATATATAGAGATTAAACTATCACTAGAAATGTCTTAAGATGCATGCTACTATGAAGACAAGCTACAACATATAGAAGACTTTACCTAACAATTTATAAAATTGTATTGGTAAGTGGATATATCAATGAACATCAAAGAGACATGCATTTATAGTTTAGAACAGTTTTCAGCTGCTTGTTGATTTCATTTTCAGGTTTCGGTATACACACATCCAAAACCAAAAAAAGGCAAGATGTAGACATGTTGCAAATAGAGTAGAACATATTGTAAAAATAAATTCAGAACCATCACACCTTAAGTAAAGACTCAACTAATTAAACTGCAAAAAATCCAATGAAATTACAGAAAATAAAAAATAAAAACATCTGATTTCATCAACTAATGAGAATTAGAAAACAACACTACATAAATAATCATTTCCAGTCCATAATGGCAAAAATCTATATCCCACAAATAACAAAATAGAAGGCAAAAGAAGCTGGTAGAAGAGCAAAACTATGATCATATAGTACAGAGGAGAGAGAAGCATCGTACATAAGAAAATCTATGTACAACCAAAAGGGAAAGAATGGACAATCGATCCATCAAGTAAGCAACCATTAGTCTATAAATTTCCTAATTAGCTTATTCCCCCTTATATATCGAATTTGAAATTTAATTATATATGATCATTGATCAATAAAAACAGCACAAAAGTTTATATTAAAGTTAGAGATTAAATAATTTCATACTGGGTCCTTATGAATCACTATCATGAACAGTATATTAAAAATAAATCAAGGCTTAAATCCGTCCGATTATTAATTGTTTTTCAAAATCTTTTTCTTTGACATTTCCAGATAACATTTTTATGAAGTATTATATCCAATATAGTCTGTAGTTAGAAATATGATGAAGTCAACTTAAAATCTGAATAAATTAATAAAAAAACATTACTGGACCAAAGATTTTTTTTTTTTTGAAAATAACCTAAAATTCAAATGTCCAAGAAAATCTAAATCACAAAGGTGAGAACTTCAAAACTGCTAAAATAAGTAAATACATCTAGGAAATTATATGCTTACATACACTGACTGCATCCTCACTAGTTGCATCATATATTGTGACATCTCTCAATCCTACATAAATCTGAATCACAAACGGTAAGCTCAAATCCTACAAATTCCCACAAAATGTTAATAATTTCATGAAGAATAAGGCAACGCATTCCTAGTCATACATAATTACTAAGCACGATTTCTAAAAGATTAGTTGTGGAAGTGAACCGAATATTTAGAATTCATTCATCAATGAAATACTATTAGAATTAAATAAAGATGAGCAAGAAATAATACCAAGAGTTAATATTATTCCTTTAAATATTTAATATTTTGAAACTGGTTTCTCAAATCAGTGAAATTGCTATTAGGTGCTCTTATTCCTAAATAATATCGAAATTAGCCCCTTGTTTTATTGAAATTAATAAAAGTTTCCCAAATTCTCAGTAGTTGTTTCAAATCAATCTCTCCAATTAAGAGCAGAAGTAGCATTTCGAGGGGTTATTTAAATCACCTTACGAAAATTGGTGGCCTAATAACGATTTCAATAATGTGAAGGTTTAATTTTAATAATTGGGGTACCTAATAACAGTTTTTGTGATCATTATCAAAATCAATTCTAAACAACGACGGACAACCAACTCAAATGAAGAGAAACTTTATGGCTCGCCTCAGGGAAGGAAGAGAGATTTAACCAGAAAAATATTGACTGATGTATAGTGTATAGGATGCCAGAAGTGGTGATAACAAATTTGACGACTACATTAAGGAACATTGGACTATGCAGTCTAATGTAACTAATCAAATGAATGTTGTTTGAGAACCTTACAATATGATATCAATTTAATGGGGATAGACCTAAGCAAAAAAACAAACAAATTCCACTTTTCATGTCCCCAAAAATGGTCTAGGCAATAGCCATGCTACATATAGAATAAATCATAGCTTTCTTCAGAAGAACAATAATTACTAACCAAAACATCATACTAAAATTGCAGTTAGCAGCAGTTTAATGATGCCTTTACAACACATGTTGCAATAATTCCAAAGAAATTTGCAAAGAGATGCACAAAATACACATCAAACATAAATTCAATAGTCCAAATAAGTGTGCTAAAGAAAATAGAAAAAATACCTCAAAGCATAGAATGCAATCACAAAAGACATGTAAAGACTCTGCAATTGTTCTAAATTGCCAATATTATTAATAATACATGTACTCCACAGAAGCTCAGAGAAAAATCATAGCATGCCATTACTGGAATTCAACAACCATCAACTCATTGTTATGCAATTAAAAATAGATCAAAAGCGGACAAGAACAAAGCATCAAAGAAACTAAGCCATTCAAGCAGGCGTGTAAAAATTACCAACTTCCTATTGGCAGGATGGTTAAATTTGCAAGTCATTCCAAACCTGCAAAGGCCAGTTCTAACAAAATAAGCACAATTTGGCTCCCCTGGACGCTCAGGATAAGGTCCATCATCCATTTCCTCACTACCTCTTATATTCATTTGCCATATCACCTCTGTAACACAGCCACAATTATCTCAGCTAGATTTCATTCACTTCCATGAAAACTCAGCAATAATTTAAAATATGATGAATAAAAATACCAGAAAATTTTCCACAACATGATTAATGAGTAACCAAAGAAAGTATTTGATCACAAGACAATGATGTTAATTTCAAAGACAGAATGAAACAGTATAAAGGAGAAGAAGATAATGTTCACTGACCCCCTGTGATCACAATTGTAATCCCTGCAAAAGTTCGGAATACTATTATACAAACACATACATCTAAGGTGATTTAAGATAATTTACTAATCTAGTTGCTCAAAGAAAAGAAATCTGAGAATTTAGGTATCAAGAATCTAATCTATGAGAACTAAAATCTTTCAAACCAAATTAAATAAAATTATTGGGGAATTTGAGAAGAAGAGCACCTTCAAGGCTTCAACTTTAAGATCAGGCAGCGAATAAGTTTTTCAAAACAGACTCCATTCCGGATTTTTATTTTTCAAAATCACCGTTTTTTCTTTATTTATCAAAACCCGACCCGGATTTGCTGATAGCAGGTTTAATCACTATCGCTAAATAGTCGGGCGGTGCCAAACGCCCGACTATTAGGAGGGTGTTTAAACCCTAATTAAAGGCCTTAATTAAGGCGTTAACACTCCTCCTAATATATAGTCGGGGTTGGCAACCCGACTATTTTATTTTTGTATTATGTGATAATCTGGTCTAATCCAAATCTCGTCGGCTTTGATTAAAATATTAATAGGATAAAATACGTCATTTTTTTGAAAATAAAAAACTAATGGTTCAATTTTTGAAGAAATGTTCCATCGACAAAGCAGCCATACAGAGATAAGCGTGCGAAAGATGATAAACGAGGAAAAAGATGATCTTACTGAATTCTCCAGTTAAAGTGATCAAAAGACTGGGCCCGAGAGAACGGGGCCA